AAAAAAAAAAAAAAAAAAAAAAAAAAAAAAAAAAAAAAAAAAAAAAAAAAAAAAAAAAAAAAAAAAAAAAAATAGAAATGCAACATTAGGATATGTTGGAGAAAAAGTAGGGGAGGGAAGAGAGAAACTTACAGAAGGAGGCGGCACAGAGTTCATAACTTCTCCGCGCGCAAGCGAAATCAAACCTTTAGAAGCAGAGTGCCGCAATACAAAATTTTTTTTGAAGAAACGGTGAATTAAGGAAAGCCTCTTGACCGGGAGAGAGAACAGGCGTATCTTTATAGTATACTAGGTGCGACACTGATTGGTCAGATTTTTTAACAGCCGTCACGTCGTACAGAGATGAATATTGTTTTAACCTCACCTACAGGGTAGATCACGAGATCCCGAGAAAATTTTATCGGCATAACTCCGGCCACGATTCGAACACATCAAATTCACTAGCATACACATAAGAAAAAAAGGTCAGTGATTTAGATCATGTGACAAGGAAAATAACATATTCAGAGACGCATACGCACACACGTACGTAATATTTGACTTTGATCGCGTTAAAAAGGAAACCGCGTGCCAAAAGGACAAAAAAATGCCGTGTAACTGCGTCATTGCCTGTGCCCTGAGGATTTTAGTATAAATTAAGTAACAAGATCAATAAGTTTTTTCTGAGATTCGGTTTTCGGTTATCGAGTTTCCTGTAACAGCAAAATCGATGTAATTTTTTTTAGAATACAAACGTATAAATTGAATGGTAAATCAAGTTTACCTGCCAGAATTACGAGATTTACATTTTTAGATCCGCACTTAGATAACGGATCCACGAGATATAAATGTTCTCGGAATAATCGCGGTAAAACAATTTGCTAATAGGAAGGGGTCACCTAATCTCATCGAGACGCGATTGATCTCTTAGGGTGCACCAACTTTCTGAGGGGATATTAGGAATGTCAGATTGAGGATTTTTGAAATGGGATCCCGCAATTCGATTAAAAAACGCAACGGTTCCGAATCCGCGAACAAGGAAATTAGATTAGATTCCACACGACCGATTTAAGTTGAACATGCGTGGACCGCAGATTTCGCGTCATCTCACAATCCGAAAAAAGAAAGAAAGAAAGAAAAAAAAAAAAACTAGAAAAGGAAAAAAAAGAAAAACGAAGGAGCCAATCGCGCCCATTCAAACCTACCCCACTAATACATTCTACAAACCTGAGAAGAGGGGGGAGAAGTGGATAGAAGTGAATGAACAATCACGTCTCATGGCATGGCAATACTTTATAGATTCTCATCTCGCGTGCTGTCATTCCAAATCGGGATATTCGCTTAAAACTTGTGCTCCCTGAACTTTTTTTTTTTTTTTTTTATCACCTTTATATATCGCACCAACTTGCTTTCAACCTTCGCTCTCTTTCTCTTGCTTGTTATTTACTCTTTGACAAACTTTCCATTCACACAAGTACACCCTTACCAAATGTCTGAAAACTATATCAAACATGAAAAAATCGGTGAAGGTTAGCTTTAAAGAGATTAAGCTTGTAACTGTACATCAACCTAAAACAAAAGAACAATAATAATGATGATGATAATAAAAATACGACCTCGTGAACGTGTCTGAAACTTGTTCGTTATCAACTTTTATAAACACCTACAAGGAACATACGGTGTTGTTTACAAGGCTCGAGAACGAAAAACCGGTCGTTTTGTTGCGTTGAAAAAAATGAGACTCGAAAGTTTCCAGAACGAGGGACTGCCCACAACCGCCATAAGAGAGATATCCATACTAAAACAAATAACGCACGAGAATATTGTGAAGTACGTCTTCCTGATCATGTTTATCCTTGACGGTCGACGCGTTTTTTGAACGTCTACGTTCAGAAGTTCGCGCAACATCCAAGTTTGTAACGAATTCCACGGAGACGGATTCATCACCGATGGAACAGATTTTTCATCGATTTGAATTTTTTTTCGTATTCTAGGCTCATGGAATCCATTTACCGTAAAAATAACCTATACTTGGTTTTCGAACTATGTGAAACGGATTTGAGAAAATTCATTGACATACAGAAAAAAGAAATGGGTGGGGTCCCACCCAATAAAATCAAGGTATTGTGCGCGTGCGCGTTTGTGATTTAATGGTTAAGTGGGTGATATCTTGAAATGGTGATTCATATCCAATTATCTTTTTTTTTTCTTTTTCCTTTTTTCTTTTTTTTTTTTTTTCTTAATTGACACCCATCCAGAGATTAACATTTCAGCTATTAAGCGGAATCAAGTATTGTCACTCCCGCGGTGTCCTTCATCGCGACCTAAAACCTCAAAATCTACTTATCGACTCGGCCGAAACCTTAAAGTTGGCAGATTTCGGTTTGGCGAGGATATACCCCCATCGACCGAGCTCAGCGAGGCCTCTCACACACGAGGTAAATCTCAACATTGATCATGTCGTTTGAATCGAATTGCTGATATCGGACCATGTCATTCGAAAAATTTGAATAGGTGGTCACTCTGTGGTACAGAGCTCCGGAACTACTTCTCGGCTCACCATTTTACTCAACAGAAGTCGACATGTGGAGTGTCGGATGTATTTTTGGGGAAATGCTCACGTCATTTGCATTGTTTCCAGGTAGACGCTCTTTTTTTAGTTAGTCACGTGCAAACATTCGCTTTTCTTTTAACAGAGAAATCGTGTAGTTTATATTGGCTGTGTTAATTATTTTTTAATAGGCGAGAGCGAGATAGATCAACTTTTCAAAATTTTTTGGTTGGTTTTTGCTTTGATGTTTTTGGCAAAAGATTTTTCTTCGATTATTTGTCCATGTGTCACGTGACATAAAGAATATTCATACTTATAAAAAAAAAAAAAAACAAACAAAACAAAAAAAAAAAACACAGGGTACTTGGAACGCCTAATGAACATTTATGGCCTAAAGTAGGTCAGTTGCCTAATTATAAAATAGGTTTTCCGGACTGGAGAAAATATCCTTTGCGCGAGTGGTTTCCCAACAAAGATTACGATACCATAGACCTACTGGAGGTAAAATCTCGTTTCATAATGATGAACCTAACCACGCTAACTACGATTAATTTGTGTAAATCATTTTCTGCGTCAATTTTACAACAGAAATTGCTAACATACGTCCCGGGACAACGAATTTCTGCAAAAAAAGCCATATGTCACCAATATTTTGACGATGTGAATTTTCCACTTGTATACAAAACTTTTGACTAATGTGTAATGATAAAAGCGAAAGGCCCGAGCAACCCTCCACCAACAAGTAAAACTATTTCAGTTTAGAAACCCGTTTAATTATTAACAACTCCGATTCGCTCTCACAGGCGCATCGAAGAGTTAATTCACTTTAAAAAAAAAAAGATATGTAGTAATCTGTTTTATAACAGCAGAGGATTTGCACAAGGCCCTGAGACAACATATATCTATACATGGTCACAAACTCAGCTGGAGTGCTAAAG